TTTGTTTGGTTGGATCTACTTTAGTTAGAGATAAATTACTTGTAATTTTGAATAACTTGATTCTAAATAAACAAGGGTAGGATAGCCGAATTAGAAAAAAAAAATGTTTATTATTACATGTAATATTTATTATTACATATAATATTTGTTATTATATGTAGTATTTATTATTACATATAATATTTATTATTACATATAATATTTATTATTATATAATATTATAATTACATGCAATATTTATTATTATATATAGTAATTATTGTTATATGTAGTAATTATTGTTATAGATTAAAAATGAAATCAGGTTAAAATAAAATTTTATATAAAAATAGAAAATTTTGGTTACATTTTTTTAGCTTTTTTTTTAGAGTTAGTGGTGCTTTAGAAGCAAAATTAATAGTAAACAAATATAAGTGGATTTTAAGAAGTTAAATAGAAACTTCCCAAATTTTATTTTAATCCAATTTTATTATGATCTGTGAAAATTATTATTACATTTATTATACATATAACTATATATGTAAATAATGATAAAATCGAACTTTGAATTATATAATAAAGTTAGTTATAGTGATAAATTGGTTAGATTATATAGTTTTATGCATGCACTAGCATTAATAAATAAATCAAAAACCTGGAGTCACATTATGCATCATATTGGTTAGATCAGTAAAGTTTATGCATGCAAAGTTTATGCATGCAAAGTTTATGCTGTATTTTTAAAATAGTAAAATATAGTAAAAAGTCGCATATAAGTATAAAATAAGTTAAAATAAGTTCTTTTCGCAAATAAAATATAAACTCTATTGTTGTGGTGACCGCAGGCTGTGATCAAAGATGTAGATTGTAATTAAAGGTGCAGATTGTGATTGAAGGTGTAGATTATAAAGAAATAAGAGTAATTAGTATAGTGTAGTAAAGAAAAAAAATATAAAAAAGAAATAATGTCTTACCTGATACTAAATATAGAGCATTTTAATATTATTAAGCAAAAAATCCAAAATAAGTGATACAAACAGAACATCTAACATTTGTCATCATTATTAATATGGAATTTGAGTTGAAAAAGATGAAAAGTTGATAAATAAACATTAATCTTAATATGAAATTGAAACTGGAAAGGGCAAATCTAAGGCATTTGAATATTATTGAGAATTATTACAGTAAAGAAATTGGAGTTAAAAGAATGTATATAAGACATTTATAGAATATTTAATCAGAGTTCATTATTTTAATAGGATAATTTGATAAAGATGAATTTCATAGATTCGAATATACTAAGACTGAAGCATGTATTATATTAATGAAACAAAAAAAATGTAAAGCATTTAACTACTATTAAAGATCTGGTATAATAAATGCTTTGGATTAAGCACTAGATATTGTTACCAAGAAAGAACTAGAATTAAAAAAAAACAATTCAAAGGTGTTTATTTATTATCAAAGTATGAATACTTTTATGGAAAAACTTAAGTTAAAGGTATCAGAAATTGGCAGTTATAAGAGTGTTATAAAAAATTTTAGGAAAACGAACTATTAGATATGATTTAGAAATTTGTTGATTAGAATGGTTTTAATAGAATATTTTTATATTAAATTTGCTAATTGGAATAGAGGCCAACAATGATAAAAAATTTGTTGAAGTGAAGAATATTGATAAAAATATAAAAAATCAGATTAATAACAATAAGGTAAGATCTTTGAATATTATCAAAATTTTCTTATTATATTATGAATACTTATAATATATTTAATATATATTGAATAATTTTCTTAGAAGTTGTACTTAATGACGATCAAAGAAATTGATACTTGTAGAAATTATCAATAAATATGATCTAAGCATAAATAATTGCCACATATAGTGTGTAAATATGCTAACAATTATGATTATTCATTAAGATATGTACTCTCACCATGATATAATATTTACTAATTGAGTAATTAGGAGTATTCTTTGTTTAAATTACTAATCTAACATAATAAACAATATAAAAATTACATTTTATTGTAGATCATAATGATAATTTTTTGTTTCGAAAATATCTTCACCTAATAATCTTGATGAAGAAGAATCTACTTCGACCTTAAGTTCTGAAGGAGCTAGTATTGACAATCAACGAAGAGTAGCTCGATGGCCATTTGATCCTGTTTGAAATCATTTCAACCAGATGGAAAAAAAAAGTGGTCATTATTCAGCTAGTTGCAAATACTGTTCGCAACAATAGTCATGTGAAGATATATCAATTTTTAAAATGCATATTGCGCATAATTGTTCAAAAGCTCTAGTAGAAGCACAACTTTATTATTTTAAACAATTAAATGAACATAATGAAAATCAAAGTTCAAATAAGAAGTGAAAGGTGGATTTAAAAAATAGAGAAGATATTCTTAAATATGTTGAAAATCAAGACCTACCCTTAAAAAGACAAGAACAATTAGAAAATGGCATATGTCTTACATTTGCTTGTAAAGGTATTGCATTTAATGTTGCCAGAAATGAAATTTTTCGTATGTGGCTTCAAGATCTTAAGCCAGGTTTTAAAATACCTAGTCCTAAAATGCTTGCAAGAAGAATTTTTAACAAGCAAATTATTAAGGTAGAGGCAAAAATGGAAAGTGAATTACAAAATAAAAAGTATATTATAATTGGTATATAATTATTATTATTATTATTATTTTATAACTTGAATATAGAACAATAATCTTTATTTGTTATAGCTCTTGATGGGTGGACGGATCCAAGAAAACGATCAATTTAAAATTTTTTACTCTTAACACCAGAACAAAAGGAGTACTTGTAAGCTTTACGTAACTATTCAGATGCACATTATATAGCAGAATTTTTGGCACAAGAAATTAAAACTATTATTACTCAAATTGGAACTGAAAAGATTTGTGCAATAGTTAGTGATGGTGGTTCAAATGTTGCTGTAGCATGATGACTAATTACACAAAAATTTCCTCATATAATGAACATATCATGTATAGCCCATCAGCTAAATCTTATTTGTAAAGATATTATGAAGGAATCTTATTCCAAACGTATTTTATCTCAAGCAATGTTAGTTGCTTAGTTTTTTAGAAAATCTCATATAGCTAATTCAGCACTTGAGAATGAAATTCAAATTAATAATATCATCAGCAGAGGCATTAAATAATATGTAGCAACTCATTAGTCAAGTTATTATGATACAATTTATTCAATATTGCATTTAAAAGTTGCATTTATTTAAGTAAGTTTATTTAATTTATATTAAAGCATAAACACTTTTCTTAATTTAATTATTTTACTATAATATAAAACTAATTATTTATATATTTATCAAAAGATTTTGGAACATGATCTAGATATTATTTTAAATAATGAAGTTTATACGATTTAAATAGAAGATTATTCTATGATGATTTACATTTTATGACTACTATTCTACAGCCTATTAAAGAATCTGTTGTTCAGCTTGAAAGTCAGGATTCAACACTAGTGGATTGTTTCATTCATTTAATCAAATTGGCAGCTACAATTTATCGTATGCCTCAAGATCAACATATCACTTTTTGAAAATATTGTATTACTTCTATCAATAGGTGGTTTTTAGAGTTTAATAATGATTTATATCATTTGACATACTTTTTGCATCTGAACTTTAAAGGTAAAATACATATATCATATATTTACTTTTTTACTTTATTTCATTTTACTTTGTTTCATAGTTGGTATCTTAATATCTATTGTATTAGTTCACAGTTTCAAAAGAGGTCAATATAAAAAAATTGCAATGTATGCAAGTACTCTGTAGAAAGATTTTGGTAATAGTGAAAGTACTTGTCAACAACTTTTAGAACAACTTTTCTCCTATAAAGAAAATGAACCACCTTATAATGATCCATTCAAACCTGAGTGTCAAACACCACAAACATGGTAGAAAATGATTAAAAATGTTTACAATCATTTTTCAACTTTAGCAATCAAACTTCTTAATATTACCCCACATTCTGCTTTTTGCAAAAAGGTTTTTTTGACCTTTGGATGGATTTATAGTAAAAAGAGAACTCGATTAGCATTTGAAAAAGTGGAAGCATTAACCAAGATTCATCGATATTATACAATGCATGCCAAAGAAGAGATGTCTTACATTAATTGTGATCTTACTTTAGAAGATATATTAGCTGTGAAAGATAAAATTGGAGAATTAGATGATAGCGATTTAGATGAAGATTCTGATGAAGATGATGAAATCAAATTTGAATCATTAGATGAAATTTTAAAATTAGAAGAAATCTTTAACTTAAATCATGAAATTTTTATAGAAAGTGGACAAACAATAATATTGAATTAAATTCTGCAAATATAATTGAAGAAGAACCAAACTATGATTATAATGTAGATAGTTTAGTTAATGAAGTTTTTATTTAACAAAAACTTCATGTTAGATGAAGATAATGTATTAATAATACACAGTTTAAATAAACTACTACATATGCGTCTAAAAATTTTTTTGAGTAATACAATTGATCAATAAATAAAATAAATTAATAATATATCTAATCTAGTCTTTAAGATAGCATATTGGGCGTCGTTAGCCAAAATATATGCAAAAATACTTTAATTTTATCTTATTCATGCTAATTATAGTAGTTATGCTAATCTCATTAGTGAATATTGTTCAATATATTTAGAATTTAGATTAGTATTTATCCTATATAATATCTTTTATTTGAAGTTTAATTATTCGTATAAAAAACATTTATCAATAATATAATACAATAATTCCTTATATCTGATTTAAATTATAGTCATTATCTATATTACATGCTACACTAAATTATAACTGAAAAATCTTGGAGTTTTTATTGAAAATTATAGGGAATCAATTGTAGATATATCTTAATTATTGAAAGCTTAAAATGAAAATTGATATATGTATGTATACTTATATATTCTGTTGACCTCAAATATAACATATAAAAACCAGTTTAAACCAGGTATTTAATATAAAACGAAGCCCAAATAGTGTTTCTAATAAATATACTTATATTAAATATGATAATTTTACCAATCATTTACCAATTGGTGATGGAGGTTCTGGAATCGTTTTTAAATATGAATAGAAAGATCACAGATTAACTATTGCTCTTAAGTACCTCAGAGTTAATATAAGTTTACAGATCACATCTCTACTAATGACAAATATGTGAAGCAGGCAAATATTTTGTTTTTGCAAATATACTTAGAAAAATTATAATTATTTATAC